TTCAGTCAAATCTCTTTTAGTTAGAAGTGGATCAATCTATGGAGAAGGAGAAGGAAGTAGCGAAAGTTGTTCCCGACCTCGAAAGTCAAGATGACGTAGAAACGAATTTCAGTATCTAAGTGCTAGTCACGAAAATGCAATTAAAACAAGCTATTTTGCCAATCAAACAAGCCGGGCAATAGGTGCATCAAGTAATCAATACTCCCAAATCAAAAAGGAGAATTGATCTATGGTCTATTTCGTAACAAATAAATAAAAATTTCTATTTGTACCCCGTTAAAAAAGGGGGGAAAAGACCTCTTGTTTTGTGGAATTAACAAATAAATTATTTTCAAGTAAGCGCAAATATATCATAGTTATAGGAGGCCATCCATTGCGTATAGATTTTAAGGACATTGTAGCAAGCCGTCAAGGTTAAGTCAGGACCTAACAAATCGAATGGAACAATTAAAATAACTTTTTGGACTTAAATTTAAGATAATTAGAGATGTTCGAAAATAAAATAATATTTCAAAGTAATTTTGCTACAAAAAAAATAAATAAATAAAAAATAAAACATAACAACCCATTCCTTCGTTAGCTTCGATCAGTTGCCCACGCGGGGCCACGCACGTTTGATCCAATCTCTTCATGCCACTTTTCAACCATTCATTGGTTTTAATTTAGTGGTCACCCTTTTTTTGGAGTAAACTAGAAAAAATTAAGTCAATTGTAAATTACAAAAGAAGAAGATATTTATATACAAGTCATCATGTACTTTTATTTTTTATTGACAAATTGACTTATTGGCTCCTCAATTATTGTAGAAGTAGTAAGTTGATCTTCAATTTTTCATAATAAGTTGTACACTCAACTTTCAACAAGAAAATAGACTAATGTCTATTAAGCCTCTATTTTGCTAACGTATAAATAATAATGTTATCTAACTCTTGTGGTATAGAAGACTAGTTTGATATGAATAATGCAATTAATATAAATAATAATGTTCAAAGAAGTTATGTATTTTATAATTTATTGGACTATGTAGCATTTAAAAATAATGTTATCTATTATTATTGGTGTTCATCATAGTATATTTTTACTCATCGAACAGAGTGATACTGACCCTACCGCCACATATACAAATACTTGTGATAAATTTTAGGGCTTAACAAATTGCA